GATTAGGTTTTTTAATCCCTAGAATCAGTAGGAAATATCGTTCGTTGAGCTTTGATTCAGGTCTTCGCTTGATTATTTCGCTTTCTGGTAATCAGAGATTCGAGTCTCCGTCTCCGACAAGGTTGGTTATGGCATCTTCTGCCTTAAAATCCGACAAGAAGATCGTTACTGGTCCCGCCGGTTATGTTCTTGAAGACGTTCCTCATTTCTCCGATTACATTCCAAATCCTCCTGTACGTCAATTTCTTGATCGAGCGGGAAAAGTCTCAAACTTTACGAGATTTTTTGCTTTAAAGTTACTGTTTTATGAGTATTTGTAACTCCTTTCTTTATTATTGGCCCAAATTGTATTCTAATCGATTATATGTGTCATGTGATGATTGCTTTAGACATATCCAAATCCATTACAAGACAACGCTGCTTACTCTGTTGTTAAGTAAGTGATCGTTTGCTTTACCTCAGAGGACTTAACTTTCTTTCCAAGTTCGTAAATTGAATCACTTGCTTATTCAAATTCCGAAATGTGTAACCTTTTTGCGGTTAATTTGATCAAATGCAATGTGTTTTCAGGCAGTATTTCGTCGATGAGGATGACACGGTTCCTCAAAAGGTAAGTAAATACTCTGTCCATTAGCCGGTAACATTCGTTTAATTGTCTCTCGTTAGTGAAGCTTTGGTTTCGCCCTTTTGCAGATAGTAGTTCATCCTGACAGTCCTAGGGGAACACATTTCCGCCGCGCAGGACCACGTCAAAGGGTATTTTCTGTTTTTTTTTTTTTATATCCCAAGAGTTTAAGCTTGAGAAGATGAGCGTTGGTGGAATTTCTTGTTTATACAGGTTTACTTTGAATCGGATGATGTTCTTGCTTGCATTGTTACGTGTGGTGGTCTGTGTCCCGGGCTTAATACTGTGATCAGAGAGATAGTTTGCGGATTATCTTACATGTATGGTGTCAAGAAAATCCTCGGAATCGATGTAAGTCCCACCGATTTAGTTATTCTTTCAGCATTGCTCTCATTACATTAATCTTGAGATCAATTGCGGTTTTAGGGAGGTTATAGAGGATTTTACGCGAGAAACACAATCGATTTGGACTTAAAAACAGTGAATGATATTCATAAACGCGGAGGAACCATCCTTGGGACTTCAAGAGGCGGTCATAACACCACCAAGATAGTTGATAGTATTCAAGATCGCGGGATTAACCAGGTTCTTTATTTACTCAGCTCAGCTAAGAATCCGAAGAGTTACATTGAAATGATGTGAAATGCTCATCTGTTTTGGGATTTCACCAGGTTTATATAATCGGCGGAGATGGAACACAGAAAGGAGCAGCTGTTATATTCGAGGTAGGCAAAACTTTGTTCTAATCAATTCATTGGGCTGGTTAGTTCTTTAATGATTGTCTTTGCAGGAAATTAAAAGACGTGGGCTCAAAGTTGCGGTTGCCGGGATTCCCAAAACAATTGACAATGACATTCCAGTAAATCTTGTTTTCCTTATTGTTTGAGATTTCGATATTGTATCGTAGTTTCCTACGGTCGTTCGAGATAATGACTTTTTGTGCTTTCTTGAATACAGATTATCGATAGATCGTTCGGGTTTGACACAGCTGTAGAAGAAGCTCAACGTGCTATCAACGCAGCCCATGTAGAAGCTACAAGCTTTGAGAACGGTATTGGTCTTGTGAAGTTAATGGGACGGTATAGCGGTAAGCAGTTTCCCTATATTAGGTACCTCTTACCCAAAAATTTTAGTTGAGAGCCGAAGAGATGTTTATGTATTTTCAAGGGTTTGTGCAGGATTCATTGCAATGTATGCAACTCTAGCTAGCCGAGATGTGGACTGTTGCTTGATCCCGGAATCTCCATTTTTTCTTGAAGGCAAAGGCGGGCTTTTTGAATTTATTGAGAAACGGCTAAAGGAGAGTGGTCACATGGTGATTGTGATCGCAGAAGGCGCGGGACAAGATTTGTTGGCTGAAAGCACAGAACAGTCCACAACTCTCAAAGATGCCTCTGGAAACAAACTTCTACAAGACATTGGCCTATGGATCTCCCAACGGATCAAGGTTAACATATCGATTCTCACGGAAAACAGAGGATCTTACTGAGAAAAAGACCGAGAAAGTGATTTTCTTTCCTTTATCTCTTTCGTATGCAGGATCATTTTGCCAAGAAGATGACCCTTAACCTCAAATACATAGGTATATATAGATGTCTTATGAGGTTTTCTTTCGCATGTCTATGGAGATAGGTCAAGATTTGTCCTTTTTTTTTTGTGGGGTTCTTTCAGATCCAACTTACATGATACGGGCTGTTCCGAGCAATGCATCAGACAATGTATGTTGCACGCTATTAGCTCAAAGCGCGGTTCATGGAGTGATGGCTGGTTACAATGGCTTCACAGTTGGCCTTGTCAATGGCAGGCATACTTACATTCCCTTCTATGTGAGTCTCAGAGAATCGAAAGTTTCAATTGTTAATCCGGTCTAGGATCAAATACCGATCTCGGATCAACCTGAGCATCTCTGACATTTATCGATGTGGGATTCCTAATAACATGGATTGAATATTGTGTAGAGGATCACGGAGAGGCAGAACAAGGTGGTGATCACTGACAGAATGTGGGCGAGGCTTTTGTCTTCGACAAACCAGCCGAGTTTCATGAGGCAAGACAAGGTCGACTCAAACCACTTGGTTGGTGAAGCAGCGGCCATGAAATGGTGAACAACTCTGTCTGGAAATCATTTATTTGACTTGAGGAGAGATCTCTGTTTGAGAAGTAAAGTTTCTTTATTTTAATAGAAGCTTTTCGAAATGTTTTATAATATTCTTCAACCAAAGAGAAGAGAGATATTACCTCCTTGAAGAATACACACGGTAATGATCACTGTGAGAATAATAATGTAATAATCAATAAAACTCTTGGTTTGATTTTACTCTTTACCAAAACTGTAATTTACGATTCATATATAATCAATCTATATACTTTTATAATCCAGATGGTAACTATTTGATCTCAGTTTTGCCATTGCAGCTTAAAACTGGATCTTTTGGAGTTTATACATCTTTTTATCAATTTTACATGAAAGAAAATGGGACTATAATGAGGAAATTGTTATTAAGAAAAATATGAATAACTGTAAATAAATCAAACCGCAGCTGGTTTCCCATCTTTTCGAGGATCACTAACTGCAGTGAGTAAACCTTTGAATTGTTTCGGTTTCTTCGGATAATCTTTCCCAAATTTCCTTGCAATTTCGATAATCATATCTTCTTCTTGTTTTTCTTCCTTTAAACTTTGAACAATAAGTTGAACAATGGCTCCACCTGATATCTCCTTGAGTTCATGTCGTCTCTGTTCCAAAAACATCTTGCTATCTTCTGTAAATCCTATGCGATCGCCGTTGATCGCCGTGAAGTTCTCATATCGAACAACATTAGGTATTAACTGCAAAGAAAAAAGCATGGCTATCAAATCATTTTGAATGTTAGTGAATCTGATGATTTTATAATAGTATGCACTCTACTTTACCTCATGGTACACTCTTGCACTCTCTACAGCTTCTAGAGGTTTCATCTTCAACACAAAGCTATTAAGGAACACTTGAATCACTGCCGGAATTATATTCATTCCGCCACTTCCTCCCAGCACCCCCACCAACTGACCGTCCTGCAATAGGAAACAATCAGGTTTTATGGACCGACGAAAGTTCAAATCTTAAAACCGTTACTATTAATAACTGATGCTGATTGGAACTAGTATCCTATTGGTTTTATACTAGTATCGCCGTTGTGTCATAACCCGGATTCTAAATGTGGTAATGCGTTGTAGATAACAAGAAAATAATAATTTGATGCCAAACCTTGGTGATGACGAGAGGTGTCATGGAAGATAATGGTCTTTTGTTTGGTACAATGAAATTTGTAGGTGCCGGAGGGAGATTGTCAGGAGTGATTGCTGTGGGTACCGAGAAATCATCCATCTCGTTGTTGAGTACAATTCCAGTGGAAGGGGATAAAACCCCGGCACCAAAAACGTAATTGACTGTTGTGGTCATCGAGACAGTGTTTCGGTCTGCATCCACAATGCAGAAATGACTAGTACCTTGGTCCCTGAGTTGGCTCCAACGGTTCAAATAGTACTCTGGTGGGAATGTCGTGTTATCGAAAATCCTCTTTTGGATTTCTTCCGCATGAGTCTTTGAGAGCATTTGGCTCATAGCGTTTGTTATGTCGACAAACTCGGGGTCTCCAAGATCCATCCGAGCCGCAAACATATGCTTCATTGCTTCTATCAAACGGTGCAGGCCGAGATCATTTCCCGAAGCAGTGTATAGTTCCGAGTAGCTGTCCAAGATATTCATAACCATTGGAAAACCGACTGTTCCACTCGAAGGGGGCGGCATTCCGTGAATTGTGTAACCCATAACATCCACAGACATTGCATCGGTAACTCGGACTTTATAACTCCTTAAATCCTCCATTGTTATGATCCCTCCCGCCATTTTCACATCATTAACTAGCTTTTCGCCTACTGTCCCATTGTAGAACGCTCCCGGTCCTAGCTCAGAGATCGTCTCTAGACTCCAAGCAAGCTGAGGGTTATAACAAGTCTCACCGGGTTTTAAAACCTGTCCGTTTCTTGAGAAAACATTCCGCAAACCGGGGTCTTTAAGTATCATCGAAGAGTGGCTTGCTATGGCCCGTCCAAGATACGGAGCCACCACGAAACCGCCTCGGGCTAGCTCAATTGCCGGCTCAAAAAGCGGTTTCCACGGAAGACGGCCATACCGTTTCCAAGCTTCGTAAAGTCCAGCTATCTCTCCCGGAACTCCAATGGACAATGCGCCAAGGAATTTCGCACTAGCATCGTTCTTATACATATCCTGAATCAAATCACAAGCAAAATCGTAT